CCATCCCCGGCATGTTATCCTACGTGTCCATCCCCGGCATGTTCTCCTATGTGTCCATCCCCGGCATGTTATCCTAGGTGTCCATGCACACATAGACTGGAATCAACATTTTTTTTTAGCAGGGACGTTTGGCTGGAAAAAAAAAAACCCAAGACTAGTTTTTCCTAGAGGAGTTTTTTAGCTATAAAAACACTCCAAAGCGGTAAAACGCCCCAAACCGGCATATTTGGATTTTTTTTTTACCAAAATCTAATTTTTTTTTGGTAAAAAAAAAAAAAGGGAGGTAAAACGCTGCTAAATGAGGCAAAACGGCGCAAAACGCTAATGCAAAAGCACTAAAAAAGTCAAGTTTTTAACGCGACTTTACACAGCTAACGTTACCAGCTTTATCAAAATACCCCGTGTGCATGGAGCCTTAGAGAACATTTGTTCGACTCATTACATGACAGTAAGGTTAATAATATAACTTAGATTACAAAATCTTCAGTTTTACTCAAATTAGTTGAAGCAAAAATTAATTCACCCCACAACAAAAACTACTCCATCTAGTATTTTGTGTATGACCTCCATGATTTGTAAGGACAGCACCAAGTCTTCTAGGCATGGAATGTTGGTGACATATTGCAACATCGATCTTTTTCCATTCTTCAAGATGCTCAACTTGTCTCTTCAGAATTCCCCATAGGTGTTCCATTGGGTTCAGATCAGGAGACATACTTGGCCACTGAATCACTTTCACCCGGTTCTTCTTCAGAAATGCAACAGTGGCCTTAGATGTGTGTTTTGGATTATTGACATGTTGGAAAAGTGCACGACGACCAAGGGCACAGAGTGATGGTAGCATCTTCTCTTTGAATATAGAGCAGGACATCTGTGAATTCATGATACCATCAATGAAATGCAGCTCCCCGACACCAGCAGCACTCATGCAGCCCCACAGAAGGACACTGCCACCACCATGCATTTTTCTTTGTACTCTTAATTTATGCTGAGCACTGTATGCTGAGGTGTACTCATGTATGCTGAGCATTGTATGCTGGGGTGTACTCATGTATGCTGAGCATTGTATGCTGGGGTGTACTCATGTATGCTGAGCATTGTATGCTGGGGTGTACTCATGTATGCTGAGCATTGTATGCTGGGGTGTACTCATGTATGCTGAGCATTGTATGCTGGGGTGTACTCATGTATGCTGAGCATTGTATGCTGGGGTGTACTCATGTATGCTGAGCATTGTATGCTGGGGTGTGCTCATGTATGCTGAGCATTGTATGCTGGGGTGTGCTCATGTATGCTGAGCATTGTATGCTGGGGTGTGCTCATGTATGCTGAGCATTGTATGCTGGGGTGTGCTCATGTATGCTGAGCATTGTATGCTGGGGTGTGCTCATGTATGCTGAGCATTGTATGCTGGGGTGTGCTCATGTATGCTGAGCATTGTATGCTGGGGTGTGCTCATGTATGCTGAGCATTGTATGCTGGGGTGTGCTCATGTATGCTGAGCATTGTATGCTGGGGTGTGCTCATGTATGCTGAGCATTGTATGCTGGGGTGTGCTCATGTATGCTGAGCATTGTATGCTGGGGTGTGCTCATGTATGCTGAGCACTGTATGCTGGGGTGTACTCATGTATGCTGAGCACTGTATGCTGGGGTGTACTCATGTATGCTGAGCACTGTATGCTGGGGTGTACTCAAGCATGCTGAGCACTGTATGCTGGGGTGTACTCATTTATGCTGAGCACTGTATGCTGGGGTGTACTCATTTATGCTGAGCACTGTATGCTGGGGTGTACTCATTGACACGGAGCACTGTATGCTGGGGTATACTCATGTATGCTGAGCACTGTATGCTGGGGGTGTACTCATGTATGCTGAGCACTGTATGCTGGGGTGTACTCATTTACGCTGAGCACTATATGCTGGGGTATACTCATGTATGCTGAGCACTGTATGCTGGGGTATACTCATGTATGCTGAGCACTGTATGCTGGGGTATACTCATGTATGCTGAGCACTGTATGCTGGGGTATACTCATTGACACTGAGCACTGTATGGTGGGGTATACTCATTGACACTGAGCACTGTATGCTGGGGTATACTCATTGACGCTGAGCACTGTATGCTGGGGTGTACTCATTGACGCTGAGCACTGTATGGTGGGGTATACTCATTGACGCTGAGCACTGTATGCCGGGTTATACTCATTGACGCTAAGCACTGTATGCCGGGGTGTACTCATTTATGCTGAGCACTGTAGGCTGGGGTATACTCATTGACCCAGAGCACTGTATGCTGGTGTGTACTCATTGACGCTGAGCACTGTATGCTGGGGTGTACTCATTGATGCTGAGCACTACAGTTGCAAGAAAAAAGTATGTGAACCCCTTGGGATTAAGTGGAGTTTTGCATGAATTGGGCATAAAATGTGCTCTGAATGTCATCTAAGTCACAACAATAGAAGAACACAGTCTGCTGAACATAATACTACACAAACATTAGATGTTGCCATGGTTTAATTGCACATAACATGTAAACATTCACAGTGCAGGGAGGAAAAAGTATGTGAACCTTTGGACTTAATAACTGGTTGACCCTCCTTTGGCAGCAATAACCTCAACCAAACGTTTCCTGTAGTTGCAGATCAGACCTGCACAACGATCTGGAGTCATTTTGGGCCACTCCTCTTCCCAAAACTGTTTCAGTGTAGCAATATTCTTGGGATGTCTGGTGTGAATCGCTCTCTTAAGGTCATGCCACAGCATTTCAATCGGGTTGAGGTCAGGACTCTGACTCGGCCACTCCAGAAGGTGTATTCTGTGCTGTTGCAGCCATTGTTTTGTTGAATTACTTGTATGCTTTGGGTCATTGTCCTGTTGTATCACCCATCCTCTGCGGAGCTTCAGTTGGCGGACAGATGGTCGTACACGTTTTCCTGCAAAATGTCTTGATAAACTCTGGAATTCATTTTCCCATCAATGACAACAATCTGTCCAGGCCTTGAGGCAGCAAAGCAGCCCCAAACCATGATGCTCCCTCCGCCATGTTTTACAGTGGGGATGAGGTTTTGATGTTGGTGTGCTGTGCCTTTTTTTCTCCACACATAGTGTTGTGTGTTCTTCCCAAACAACTCAATCTTGGTTTCATCTGTCCACAGTATATTCTGCCAGTAGTGCTGTGGAACATCCAGGTGCTCTTTTGCAAACTTCAAACGTGCTGCAATATTCTTTTTGGACAGCAATGGCTTCCTCCGTGGTGTCCTCCCATGTACTCCATTCTTGTTTAATGTTTTCCTTATTGTAGATGTGTCAACAAAAATGTTAGCATGTGCCAGAGATTTCTGTAGGTCTTTAGCTGACACTCTGGGATTCTTCTTTACCTCATGCAACATTCTGCGCTGTGCTCTTGCAGTCATTTTTACAGGAAGACCACGACTAGGGAGAGTAGCAACAGTGCTAAACTTTCTCCATTTGTAGACAGTCTGTCTTACCGTGGACACATGAACATCAAGGCTTTTGGAGATACTTTTGTAACCCTTTCCAGCTTCATGCAAGTCAACAATTCTTGATCGTAGGTCTTCTGAGAGCTCTTTTCTGCGAGGCATGGTTCACATCAGACAGTGCTTCTTGAAACCAGTAAACCCAAAACAGGTGTGTGTTTTTTAAGGGCAGGGCAGCTGTCAGCAACACATCCAATATCATCACACTGATTGGAGTCAAGGTTGGCTCACTCCTGGCTCCAATTAGCTCTGGGAGAAGTCATTAAGCTAGGGCCTCACATACTTTTTCCTCCCTGCACTGTGAATGTTTACATGTTATGTGCAATTAAACCATGGCAACATCTAATGTTTGTGTAGTATTATGTTCAGCAGACTGTGTTCTTCTATTGTTGTGACTTAGATGACGTTCAGAGCACATTTTACGCCCAATTCATGCAATTCTCCACGTAATTCCAAGGGGTTCACATACTTTTTCTTGCAACTGTATATGCTGGGGTGTACTCATTTATGCTAAGCACTGTAAAAACACAATCTAGTTATACCTTCAAGCCCCCTCCAGTCTGTGTCACAAAATAACAGGCAGGTGAAGCCTCCATCAATCATGATGTAATATCCCACCCCCATTGTGCTTAGCTGGTTAGTGGGTATGGAGGAGATGGGAGGGAGTGGGCTGTCATTTACAACTGTGTATACACCCACGTGTGTAACTCTATAATCACATGGACTGCTCAGATGTGACAGGGAGGAAATACTCAGAATAGAAACTTAATGAAAATTGAACATGTGCAGTAGCTGCAAACACTGCTCTTCAAAATTCCCATCTGCATTGGGGACATAGACAGAAGGGGGAGATAGAGAACAGCAGGATCAACCAGGTTTTTTGCAGAATACAGAAAAACAAATCCCATAGTGACTGAACGAGTATGAACAGCATGTAATACATTGTTTATTGATAGTTTTTAATGATGTTTTACACCCCAGCATACAGTGCTCAGCATAAATGAGTATATGTGGGTTCAGTGACACTAAACATACTCATGGACAAAATGTAAAATCCTATATTCATTTCTGAATTGTACTCTTTATTTCTAGCCTACTCCTATTATTCTGAATGATCTTGAAGTTTATAAAAACTTACTTTGTGAAGATCCCCAGACATTTACTTCCTTGAATTCTGTGACACGTAGTCACTATGCCCTGTGAATAGGCACTGCTGTCTCACATTTCACGGAGCCTGCCTGCTGATCTACAGATGTGCTGAGAGGTGCAGTTTCAAGAGCCAGAGGTGGTACAGGAATCACTGCTTGCATGCAATGTACCATGGGATATGTAGTCCTTAGAAATGAAGAAGCTGCAAAGCATGCAGGGAACCCAGGAAGTTGTGGAAAGAGACAGCCAGGAGACAGACTGAACTCACAACATGAAAGGAAATTTTTCAAGTAATCTCATATTGGATTGTCAAGGTAACTTAACTATTGTAATGATAATGCTGATGTTATAAAATGAAAGCTGTATTCTGTAACCAAGGAACTCCTTCAAATGTATTTTTACACAGTAACTCGATCTGTTTATATGTTATAGGTATTCTTCCCTCTGACCACCAATGTAAGGTGTATTCTTCCCAAGGACCACCAATGTAAGGAACATTCTTCCCACTGATCACCAATGTAAGGAGCATTCTTCCCACTGACCACCAATGTAAGGTGTATTCTTCCCAAGGACCACCAATGTAAGGAACATTCTTCCCACTGATCACCAATGTAAGGAACATTCTTCCCACTGATCACCAATGTAAGGAGCATTCTTCCCACTGATCACCAATGTAAGGAGCATTCTTCCCACTGATCACCAATGTAAGGAGCATTCTTCCCTCTGACCACCAATGTAAGGTGTATTCTTCCCAATGACCACCAATGTAAGGAACATTCTTCCCACTGATCACCAATGTAAGGAGCATTCTTCCCACTGATCACCAATGTAAGGAGCATTCTTCCCACTGATCACCAATGTAAGGAGCATTCTTCCCACTGATCACCAATGTAAGGAGCATTCTTCCCACTGATCACCAATGTAAGGGGCATTCTTCCCACTGATCACCAATGTAAGGGGCGTTTCTTCTCACTGATCACCAATGTAAGGGGCATTCTTCCCACTGATCACCAATGTAAGGGACATTCTTCCCACTGACCACCAATGTAAGGAACATTCTTCCCACTGACCACCAATGTAAGGAGCATTCTTCCCACTGATCAACAATGTAAGGAACATTCTTCCCACTGATCACCAATGTAAGGGGCATTCTTCCCACTGATCACCAATGTAAGGAACATTCTTCCCACTGACCACCAATGTAAGGAGCATTCTTCCCACTGATCACCAATGTAAGGAACATTCTTCCCACTGATCACCAATGTAAGGAACATTCTTCCCACTGACCACCAATGTAAGGAACATTCTTCCCACTGATCACCAATGTAAGGAACATTCTTCCCACTGATCACCAATGTAAGGAACATTCTTCCCACTGATCACCAATGTAAGGAACATTCTTCCCACGATCACCAATGTAAGGGACATTCTTCCCACTGATCACCAATGTAAGGGGCGTTCTTCCCACTGACCACCAATGTAAGGGGCGTTCTTCTCACTGATCACCAATGTAAGGAGCATTCTTCTCACTGACCACCAATGTAAGGAACATTCTTCCCACTGACCACCAATGTAAGGAACATTCTTCCCAATGACCACCAATGTAAGGAGCATTCTTCCCTCTGATCACCAATGTAAGGGGCATTCTTCCCACTGATCACCAATGTAAGGAGCATTCTTCTCACTGACCACCAATGTAAGGAGCATTCTTCCCAATTTTTCTTTATTAAAAGTCTTGCAATTAATAAACATACAATACAGAATATACATAAATAAATAATTATATACATATTTACACAAAAAACAAATTAAATATAGCAAAATCTGCTGTCAGTCAAAAGCAAACCTCTCATAAATGAACATGTCATAACTGGGGGAATAAATCTTACTACAACTCACATCACTACACCAGACATCAAACCTGAGAGGTCAAGAAACAACCCCGCCCCCATTATGCATGCAGCCCTTCTTCAAAAAGAATATCTTAACCAACAAAAACTAAGAAGTGAAAAAGAATAAGAGCCCCTTACCCAGAGATGGACAGTTCACCAAAGGCAGGTCTGATATTCCTCCACGCCCTCATCCAGACCGCCCGAGGCTCCCTGCCCTTCTCAAGACCCCAAAATCCTCCCAACCTCACCCAGAATATCGTGCACCACCACCTCTACAGGGAGGACTTTCTTCTGCAGGGTAAACTGACACCGTGCATTCCATGAGAAGTAATGAACAACTATACTAACTAAAAAAAAGTGTATCCAAATCAGCGAGCTGGGAATTCCCCGTACACCCACTCTGCATAACTCATGTGATAGAGAAAGGGGATGCCCAGAACCCTCCCCACGCTTTTATACACCTCTATGTTAAAGGGACACTGGAGCAGAAAGTGTGTGGTCCAACACACTCTGCTCTAGGACAATCCCGATCATCCACAGGGCGGTGCTTCAGGTTCCCTCTCACATGGAGCCTTCCATGGAGTGTGAGCTAGGCTTGATCCCTAAACTTCAAAGTGATTCTCTCCAGGTTAATTAAATGAAACCCCTCCCTCATTACGGAGCCTGGGCAATCCTTTAAGGCCAGTGACACACTGAAAGCAGAAGCCAAAATCCTCTCCCCCAGAAGCTTCCTGGGAAGGGACCTGATATCCTCCACTGTCACCTGCCACTGCCAAAGTATTTTCAGACATGGGGCAACATAAGCCGGGAACTTGCCATTTCGGACTCTCAGACTTTTCACTGGTCTGCCATCTTTCCAGCAATGCAGAAAAGGCTTAAACCAAGACTGAAAAAATACCCACCCATCCCGGCGGGGTCTCTGCAAACATGTTACCAAGATTGTACTTTAAAAGCGCAAAGAAAAGAAAACTATCGGGTTGACCATTCCTAGGCCACCCTCCCGCCTGGACAGGTAAGTTACATTGCGTTTGATCAGGTTCAGCCTATTTCCCCATAACAGTTGGAAAAAACAGCTGTAGACCCGTGCATAGAGAGTTACCAGCAAGATACAGATGAAGCTGACATATAAAAAGATTGGGATCAGGTAAGTTTTGATTAAGTCAACCTTCTCCCTCAAGGAAAGCCTCCATCTCTTCCAACTTGCCACTTTGGAATTGGCACCTACCAACCTGCTTTCCCAATTTCGATGACCATAGTCACCAGGACCAAATTTGATGCCCAAAATTTTAATTTCCTGCTGGGGCCCCGGGAAGGCATCCAGAAGTTCGAAGCTTTCACCCTCCTCACCCATCCAGAAAACTTCACTCTTCTCGTTGTTGACTTTAGAGCCAGAAGCCTCCATGTACTGCTCTACAACAGAGACCACCTCCTGCGCCTCCTCAGTCCCAGAGATAATAACAGACACATCATCAGCATAGGCCATGACCTTCAAAGGCGGCGCACCAGCAATGCTCAGAGGCACCCCGCACAATGATGCACCCTCTAGCCTTCTTACAAAGGGGTCGATTTGTGAAAGCATATAGCAGGGGGCTCAAAGGACATCCCTGGCGCACACCAGAGCCAACCTCAAAAGACCCAACCCAACCATTAACAAGTGGGAAGCTCTCAGCCCCTCTATATAATGTCTTATGCCAATCTATAAACCTCCCCTTCAGGCCGTATCTACCAAGTAGCAACCATAGATATTCGTGATTCACTCGATCAAAAGCTTTTGCCTGATCCAATGCCAGCAAGTACTTTCTCCATCCAGCAGCCCTGCATCGTTCCAAAGCCTCCCGAATAGCCAAAACTGCTGAAAAGGTACTTCTACCAAACAGTGATGGCTGGACAACAAATCGCCTGCTACTGACGACAAGCGCCAAAAAAGAATCTTTGCCAAGATCTTTCTATCAACATTGAGAAGACTGATGGGGCACCAGTTTCTCAATCATTGAGGGGTCTTCACCTTTTGACAGAAGAATTGCAGCGGATTGCCTCATGGATGGAGGGAGCGAACCCTCTTCTAGACAGCTGTTAAAAACCTCCGCTAAAAAGGGAGCCAGAATGGAACAGAAGGGACAGACTCAGGGATGACATTACTACAGGAAACAGAATCTAACACAACAGACGGAACAGACACAGGAGGGGCAAAAACAGTTTCCTCCATAGCATCAGCTGCCTCGTCTTCTTTATCCAGCCTCTGCAGCTCAGCCACCAATCCTGGCAGGTTGTGTAGTGCCTCTGGGCACAGACTGTACAGATTACCCAGTTGCTGGCACAAATAGCACCGAATCTGGGTGCATTCTTTGGCCAAATGGCCTAAATCCTGGCACAGTGAGCACTTTTTGATGGTACAGGATGATGCAAAGTGGCCTTTCTCTCCACATTTGTTACGAAACTTAGGCTGACCCCGATAAAAAACGGTCAGCCTATCTCTCCCCAGAAAAGCTGAGCAGGGCAGGTGCTGAACCACATTGCCCAGCACCCTCAATTGTAGTGACACTGTCCAGGCCCCTGTCCATATACCAAGCTCATCCAGGACCTTTCGCAGTGAGGTGAGAACCTCACCATATCGGCGTAGCCAAACTACCAAATCAGCTTCTGGTATGGATTCATTCCGGACCAGGATTGTCACAGATTTTATCAAAGGCTGCCTTAAAAGCACAAATAGGACTGTACCATACATAATACAAAAGAGGGCATAACTTTTCATTAACTGATATATGTTGTTCATATTTCACATGTTGGTGGAGTAACTCTTCCTATAGTAACTCAAACTTTGTTCTCATTGTGGGGAAAAAAATGGATACCAAGCAAAAGCAAAGTGCCGCCATTTAGTTCTTGATGAAAAAGAAGAGCACAGGCTGTCTGCCATTCACAGAAGACTGCAGAATGTTTACAGAGATGACACCATTGACAAGAATTGCCAATGGCAAGATGTTGCTATTGTCAGTGGTGTCATCTTCATAAATATTCTGTAGCCTTCTATGGATGTCAGACAGCCTGCACCACTCCTTCATCAAGAACTCAATGGTGGCACATTGCTTCTGCTTGAAATCCATTATTTACCTGCAATGAAACAGAAGAAGAGGAGTTACTATAGAGGAAGAGTTACCCTAACAAGATATGAAATTTGAATGACCTACTGTATTTATTAAGTTATGCCCAATTTTGCATTCCTTTCGCTACAGTTCTCACAAAACAAAAAAGTTTAGTTCCTAAAAAATAAATAACAAATAGCTACCTGGAAACCCAATTTCCAGGAAACTTCCAGTATGGCACATGAGAGTGTGGCTTTGCCCACCCAAAACAGGAAACACAAGGCTCATAGACCAGTGGTCTCCAAACTGTGGCCCAAAGGCCAGATGTGGCCATTTGCTTTCCTTCATCTAGCCCTTGGGGCACTATTTCTCTCATTGATACAAGGCATTATTTCCCGCTACTGACACCAATGATGAGGCACCATTCTTTCCACAAAACACCAACACTGGGGCATAATTCCTCAAATTGAAAACAGTGGGCCCTCTTCCTTCCAATGACATCAATGATGGGGCATACTTCCTTTCACTGGTGTAAATGCTGGAACACTATTCCTCCCGCTGAAAGCAATAAAGGGGCACTATTGCTGCCACTGATAGTAACCATGGGATACTATTCTTCCCAGTAATACCTATGACGGGGCACTATTTGTTCCACTGATACCAGTGATGGGGCACTACTCCTCCCACAAATGACAATGACAGGGCACTATTTCTTCCACCGATACCAATAATGAGGCACCGTTTCTCCTCCTAATGACCACCAAGCCCAAGGCATTTTCTACTCCCACTGGCCATAGTGGGCAACTGGCCCTCCTAAAGTATGAAGGATTTGTTTTAAAAAGTTTGGACAAGCTCAAACTCACTGCCTAAGTTCTTTGTGTTTCATCAGACTTCGCAGGAACAACATGGAAACATGGATATTGAAGGCCTTCGTGCTAATTGTAGGAGCCTCCCACACTATCCAGCTCAGATTCTACTCCAGGGATGGTGGACCTGGCCAGCTTGGATCAGTATTACTGGGGAGGGAAGACCTCCTTTTGATGTCCTGGAAGATGTATGATCTTAAAATCCACTCCTTTCCTCTCTTTAAAAAAGAGTCTTTACTGGCCTGATATTTCCTTCCACCCACACCATAGGAGGGGCAAATTC